GGGGGAATAGAGTTTACACCCCTGGCTGAATTTGCTTCTTTAATTTTATCTGCAATAAGTTTTCCACTTGTTCCTCCCGAGATAAGCGCTCCTCCTCCGATTAAAACTACAGGTAGTGCTATTCCTCCAGTAGCAGCAGCTAATGCTGCGCCTCCAGTAACTGCTGCTCCTGCACCTGCTACAGCTGCTGCCACTAATGCTACATTTTTTACCTTCTTTTTCAGCCTGTTTTTTTCTTCCTGCCTTACATTTTCTACATATGCTCCCATTCTTCTCCTCTCTTCCTCTCTCTGCTTCCTTTCTTCATCCCTGATTTTTCTCTGAGCATCATTGTACATGTTACTGGTGTAATGCTGTCCTCCGTTCTCCATCACCATTGTGTCTATCTTCTCCAGCAGTTTATTTACTTGATCTCGGTTTGTATCTCTGTTATTGAAAACATGATACCTGCCTTCACACTGTTCAATTAAGCTTTTAAATGCCTCATCTTTTGTCAGAAACTCCTCTATAGGTATATCTAACTGATCTCCTCTAGTGAACAGAATGATGGTGTAATGAGTAGCATCTTCTCCAAAGTTTCTCTGAATCCATTTCACTGTAATTTTCTGTTCATTTGTGAATCTGTCGTCCAGTCTAATGACAAGAAGAAATGCATGAGGACCAGGAAGAGACATCTCGACACACTTCACTAACTCATTCTTCAGTTGTTCTTCACTCATTGATGTATCACACAGTCCTGGAGTGTCGATCACTGAGATTATTTTACCATCTACCATCTGCTGATGTTGTTGGCATTTCTCGGTCACAGATTGCGAAGACAATTTTTCTCTGAATATCTTTTGTCCCAGGATGGTGTTTCCTGATGCGCTCTTTCCTATTCCAGTTTTACCCACCAACACGATCCTGAGATCTGATATGATTAGAGGACATAAAAATGGGAGAAATAAAATTATATTACTTTTTTATGTGCTATATAAAACTATATCATATTTGATACACAGTGCTTAATTTGTAAATTGCGAGGTCCCGGAACAAAGCTTCTCTCTTAAATAATTCTCTTATTAAGAATTAACAGAGATTTAGACGTTAATGTTTATTGAA